CCCAAACAAACAGGAAGTGCCTGGTGGCCTGACACACTAATATGCCCTGAGAAAATATGTGTAACCATAACAAGCTGATTAGAGGACGTTTTAGTTTAAACACAACACAACTGTGTCTTTTTCCCTTTTGCTCTTTGGACAAAGCTGTGATGCCCGTGTGTTACGGGTAAGCACATGCTTTGGTAGACTGGTGCTGAAATGGGCCAAACGGCAGGTGTTCCTACTGATGGCTGTCCAAATGTGATGGGAAAAATTGTTGGAGATTTGATGCAGAGCCAAGATAAAATGACTAAAACTGATACTGGTATTATGCATTGTATTATCCACCAGGAGGAGTCGTATATGTCAGTGCTAGAAATGACCACGCTACGTGTTTTACAGTTTGATTCACTGCAGGTCAGGATCAGTGCGGGATTTGTATTGTTCTCAAAAGAAGAAAGCTTTACACACATACAGTGTGGAGACATTATTGTAGCGTCTTTAACTTCAAATATAAAACGTCTTGATCCTGTTGTGACTTGGTGCTGTACAAACTGAACTGAGACATGCTCAGAAGATGCTGGTTCTCTTTGGATGCACTTTCATGTGTAACTTAATCTCAGAGAATAAGTTTAACAAATACAGATGCAGCTTCTTCTCATCTGTCTTTGTATTTGGACATCAGACATTAGTGCATTTGTTCAAGCTCCAAATAGAATTCTGGAGTTAAAGTTAAAGTGCAGAAAAAGTCACTAAACTATGAGTGAAACAGCAACAGCACTTTGTGTGCACACTTTATTCACACTTGTGGAATCCTGATTTAATATAAAATCAAATTATTTTACATTTGAGTTCAGAGACTCGTCTTCACTCCAACACGCTGGGACGAGTTACCAGAACCACGTAGTCGGTGTTTCTCGAATGCCTTTGAAGTAAAAACTGACCACTTTTCAAATTGTAATTGTAACATTTTTATTATTATTATTCAATTCAACAATGCAAAAATATTAATCAAATTAATAGAGTTCATATAAAGCACCTTGATTTGCACATTAATTGCAGGAATTTAAAGATAATCATCTGAAGAATTTAAGAAATCCATGTTAGTAGAGAGACTCCTCACTACTCTGTGGACCGCAGAGCCTTTTCTGTTTACTTTAAATATTTAATGATCAAAATGAATGAAGTGAGCCGAGGAGGAAAAAGCCAAATGTAACGAAGGATTTCGCTGGGTTGTATAAAAGGGTTTTTTCCCCTCTGGTGTCCCAGTGATTAAAAATAAATAAACCAACAAACACATGGCTGCACAAACAAGGCTTGCAATTGAAAAACAGTAACCCCAGCGCCCCTTCTAATAAGGAAGATTCAGAGTCTCGCTGGAACATTCCTCACAACTCTGTCACTTAAACACACCTCCTGAAATATCCCTTGAGTCAGTGGGACAAACTTCACCTCAGTACTGCCAGCACTGTAGCACCCTTTAATTACACTGGGCTCTACACACTACTGGCCCTGTATATGCTCTGCAAGCCATTCCACGGGCAGCGCTTGCAGCCAGCAATATTTCAAAACTTCTGGATTTTCCTTTTTGCTGGAGCGCTGATGCTCGTTACAAATGAACTCAGGAATGGGCCGGCACATGGAGCACTTACTGAGTGCCCACACTGTTTCAGATGACCTGTTTTGCCTGTTAGCTTTCGAACTAAAACATAGTGAAAATTGTAATGCCATTTCCATAAAACAAGCAGTGATGTTGGATGTGCTTGTCAGACAGGTGAACGGGATAAGGAAAAGAAAGGACGGTGGAACATAAATATGTATATGTAGGTCAGTTAAACAGAGTCCTTAAGATACAGAAATCAACATTTATTTCCTCACTAACTGTTTCTCCTTATTATTATAGTCCTGGGGTACGTATCACTGTCTGAACCTTGCAGCCTGATTATCAAGTCACTTGTGGTCGCAGAGTCAAAGTGGATCTTGAGTCCTACAGGAGGCCGGGAGGAGGCCTGGAGGAGTTCTGTCCTTCATACAGATTCAGGACCAGAGTGCAGGTCTCACATGGACTAACAATGGAAATGAACCAATCACAAGAAAGGCGATTTTCAGTTTGTGTTAGAATCTTTATGATGTGATGCTACACAATCATCTATAACAAATCGTTTGGGCTTTTTGTTTGCATACGTTGGAAGAAGCACATAGTTTTGAATTATTGGAGATAAATTATCAAAATTTCAGGGGCGGGATCACGCCTCCAAACATTGTATTTTATATATATGACTCGCACCCCCCGCCCCAGTTCTACAAGCTGTTCATTCGCGTTTTCGTGCCCCACCCATCTCTCATTAGTACACGGGGGGATCTGCCAGGCCCGGGACCTGCCGCCAGTCCCTATCGAGGCCTTCAACCAACCGCAGCTCAATTCTTGATCAACCCTCTCAAGGCAGGCGTTGCTGATTTACAACAGTTAAAAACGAACAACCTGATTACCCCACATACATATTTTATGAGGTTTTTATCAGAAGTACCACTGCAGGACTTGGCTGTGCATTAGCAACAAAAGGTTTAATTTGAGCCTGAGAGGGCTAAGACATTCGCCTTTATATACTAAAACTAAGCTAAAACTAACCCTAACCCTACATCTTACATTGTCATTTTATTTGCATTTCAAACTGAGTATAAAACAATTAATTTCTTCAGTTATCAGGAAAATCAAACTAAAGGATCAAATTCCAAATATAATGGGCAAAGCTGACGACAGCCTGAAACTGAAGCTGATAAACATGTGATTCACTGCCTTTAATATTCATGGTTTAAAAGCATAAATGAACCTTTAGAAAAATAATATTACTGCTTCACGCTTCATTCAACATAGAAACATGACACCCAGCTTGACTTAAGGTTTTATTGTACAATATCAGCTCAACACGGTCTAAAGTAATAACCCAACATTTGGTTCTCAGTCAAACAGAGGAAACATATCAAATCTTTAAACTTTTACATTTGATGAAAATCTCATCTGTGTCTTATTTTTCAATGGCAACACATCTGAGAAAGCTGGAAGAGCATGAAGCAAACTGCATATGTCAACGTTTACCTGAAGTGGGTCTGAATCTAGTGTTGTATCCCACAGCCACAGCTCTATCCATAATGCAATTACAAACACACAGGCACTGCTTTTTCCAGACCTGGTGGAGAGAAACTGATGGCTGATGACATATTATTAGTTGCCTACGGTAACCTGAACATGTAAAGAGGAGCAGATGGTGCCCAGGAGGAGTATTAATGTCATGGTAGTGTTTGTACT